AATTTGGGTCAAATTTGTCAAAATTCCGAAGCAAAAATTTGGAAGCCAACTTACCGTCATCAACCCGTGCTCTGTCCTCTGATAAAGCACGCTGTTTCAGCCAATCAGAGCGCGCGTTATATGGAAACTTTATTATAATATAAAATACAATACACTACAATTCACAAAGCTTCTTACCAACAATATTAAGCTTCAAAGGCAGCTGTAAATGTGTTTCGGAAAATACAGAAAGATCCGCCAAAACACCCTCACGACAAAAGTCACAATCGATAGGGTTCGAGCTTTCACCTGGCAAACACTGTCCCGTCCCCTAGTAAGAGGACACGGTCACAACGCATTTTCATTGGAAGAAACAACAACACATACAATTGGTCAAAAGGTGTTAGACATGTCTGTCACGAAGGACGAAAGTGCAACGCTACAAACGGAGGCTCTGGGGACGAGAATGACCTTTTCCCGCCAACAATGTCCCAGAAGCCTTTGCAGGTTGTCTTATGGAATGGAAGCACGCTGACCGGTATTAATCACTTGAGCATTGAGATGCCCATGTGGATGGTGCGTTGAGCTCTCCATGTGTAAAAAAAATAATTTACGAGCACAGAACAACCAAGTAATTTGATGGCTGTGATTTGCAGAGAATTGATTGTCTGATCAAACTTGAAAGGCGAGGAAATGGCGATGTTACAGCACTCTCTCTGCCTGCGTGAGTATTATTTTGTGCCAAGTTATTTTGCATATTTGCTCATGAAAATCCTAATTGTTGAACACGGATTAAATTTTTATTTTGGCTCTGATTTGTTCATCTATTTTTAACAGGAAGGTTTTGGTTAACGTCTCCACTGCATTTTCGGTAAGTATACGTAATAAGTTTAATTACAAACGAGGTTGCGTGCGACATGTACTTCACTCAATCACGGTACAGACTGTGCATGTAACATGATGTGTTCATGCTTCATCGGCTCTTGTTTAATAGTTTAAGAACTAAACTGCACTTGTTAGCCTGTCAGCAATGTTTCTTTGGAGGCTATTGGATTTCTAATATTTTTATTTGTGTTTTTTAAGTAATGGTCATTCAGCATGTGTTTTATCACATGATTCTGCGCATTCTGATAAACATGTAGTGTTTATATGACGTATGTATGTTAAATACTAAATTTAAGCCTAAGTTAACAGCATAAGCTTATACTTGAAGAAGCGAGTAATTATAATCAATTTAATTTTTGGCAATAATTTACCATGTTTTTTCAGTTAAGCACATGACCTCCTTTCTGGGTTTTATAAGTAAACACTCCCAGCATTTATTGTTGGCACAGGTGTTAATTTGAAGTCTGATATTATTTTATTTGAAAGTGATTTGATGCAACCAGTTCACGTGATTACTAGTTGTATTAATCACTCCACATGTGCATATTAAGAATGTTTATACTAATATTTATTATTTGTACACATCCTTTCTGCACATGCAGTTTACTTGCTACACCATACATAGAGTGCTTACATAATTTATAAAGTGAAACCCGTATTAATCAACAACAGGGCTAGGGACTACTGCTACCACTTCATGTGGATATAGCAATCTTAGGTGTTTGGCCAGTCCTGAAGGGTCACTTTCTTTCTGGTTTTCCTATATTTCGTAACCAAAATGAAAAATAACTTACTATATACTGTTACAGTATATAATAAAAGTATGAAATTTTTGCCCCATGCACCATTTAAATCTCCTCTTTTGAGCTCTTCGTTTAGCCGTATGACAGCTTCAATGCCTCTTTAAGGGTTAAGTTATAAGAATGATGGTAATATAAGGGGTGTTGAACAATGTTTTATTCCAAGATTGCCAAGACACTGAGACCCTTGTGTGTAACACCAGGACTTAGACCACAATAAAAGGAATTAAGGTGATTCCTCAGAATTACATTGTCCATTCCTTACAAAATTTTGCATCATCAGTGCGCATGCATGAGTGTGTGCATATACACAGCATCAAGCTATGCTCAACAATGAAATAAATGTTTGTTTTCTAATAAATATGTTTTATTACATAATTTTGGTGTGCAATTAGTTCCCTAGTGTAGTCCATCATTATTCAGACACACCTCTTTTTTGCAGGCATAGATGTCAATTGTCAAGTTATCTCTCTTGCACTGGATATGATCATAAATCAAGGTGTTATTCTCGCCATGTCAATCCATCATCAAATGTTGTAAGCTTTGTTAACACAGCTCACATGCCATCAAGATTTGGAGTGTTAGATCTACAATTCAACACAAGTCATGTTACACAAAGATTCAAGTTTGTGCATAACTGTTTGTATGGAAGATGTGGTGTTTCACACAGGGCACAACCATGTTCAAAACTTACTGGGAATCCTTTGTGTTTTCCTTTAATGAAAACTACATCGAGCAGGACATTGTTTTATAAAAATGTCATAGCTTTTGAACCTTTGAAAACGTACCCATGGATTCACCATAGAAGGACAATTTTTACCAGCAGTATAAGTTGTGACCCAGCAGCTAGTAAATTAGGAAAGAATCCAAAACTGTGGGAAGAAGAGGAGAAAAAATCCAAGGTTGAAGAAGCTGTTGAAGCCATGAAAGAGAAGAAAGAAAAACTGAAAGAAAAAGCATTTCAAATGGAATGCAGTCCTGAAGAGATAGAACCAATGGTTGCTGTGTCTCCAAAACTAAGGAAGACTATATGGCAAAGAGTTAAACATGAAGTCGTGCATTATTACAATGGATTTAAGCTGCTTTATTTGGAGATAAAAATTGCTGCTAGGATGTTGTGGCAAATTATGAATGGAAGAGTACTGTCAAGACGTGAAAGACGGCAGGTAAGTCATAAGCATGCATGTTGAGCAAGTGAGATTCAAAGTTGTTCCTTTCAGGTACTTTCAATTAATAGGGGTAGTGAATGGTCATTCAAAAACCGTGTGTTTTCGTTGAATTTCATGGATGTCGCAGTCTCATTTTGTGGGCTTATGCATTATGCATGCATAAGCACAGTTAAGCTATTAAGATCTTGTGGGTTCAAGGATATGATGTCACATGACAGAGCTTTTAGAGCATGAGTAGTCTGTGAGATAAAGTGGGTACTAGTATTTTGCGTGATTGTTTTTGAGTAAAGGCAGCCATTGCTATATTTGTAGTGCGTAGTTGTTGCTAGCTCTAGTCGTATTGCGTTGTCAGCAATTTAAAGACTATATTCAGGTTTCTCCGGAAGCTCTGGCGACCTGCGAAAACCACCATCCACTTGGCCTGAGCGCACCGGCTACGCAGGGAAAATATATATACTTTTTTGTGGGATCAGCTTGGCAAGGAAAGAGATTGTTGCCGGCTACTTTAAATTTTTTTCAGACTACAAATTTTCAGGAGAACCCTGATATTTGGTATGCAACAAAGGTGGCTGCATAATTCCATTCATCGATAGCTTAGATAGCGGCTTTTAACTGAAACTTTGCCAAGAATCATGTGTGAGGGTTTCACTTGAAAAGTGTTTTTCTTCTGTGGAAGTTTATTTCAAATTTCCATAATTTATTCAAGTCTCATTGTTTTTTATAATTACTTTACTTTTATTGCTTCAACATTTTTATTTTCCTTTATAAACACAAACCATCTCTTAGTACATGTAGCTTGGAGTAGAAGAAGAGGAAGGAAATAAAAGAACTGCCCACACCAGGATTTGAGCTGCCAACCCTTCCATCCTACTTCTGATTCCCTGACTGAATCCTTGTGAGGGAATACAGCTATTAATTCATCACAACAATCGGAAAGACAAATACATTCCTAGCAGAAACCTCATTTATTATTGTACTTTCATCTTTCTAGTACTTGCCTACTTGTAAGACTACAATACTTAACCTAATGAATAAAACTAGCCAATTAAGCCCACAAATACGCGTTGCGGACCTATTCTTTTTAGTGGTCTCATAGTCTCGACTTATTGCAAGGCTAAGAAAGTCTTGAAAGACCAATTTGTTCGTTTTTTTAATTTTATTTTATCAACACACTTTGGAGTCTCAGCCTTGCAATTGAAGAAGTCATAATGTCTCGGACATAACTCTCCTTGTGATTGCAACATGACATGAAAAAATGAGGGATAGTTTGCAGTCTCTACAGTGTAGCTGTGAAACATACTTGTTCCCAGAAGCCACCATCCTTTTGGGCTGAGAAGGAGAATGCAAGGCTCTTGGGGACAAAAAATGGCTGTGAGATGGTTCAGACTGTGAAAGTGTGTGTTTTTTAAGTTCATAAAATGATTGCTCTTTCTAGATCCTACAGGTATATGAGTCAACCATCAGTCTTGCAATTAAACTTTTCTTTACCAGTGGCTTTGAATCACTCATCAAGGGATCATCTTATCAATGTTCACTATATGATCAACAAAACATTTGTGCCTGGCATTCCACAAGTTACATGTATGTTGTCACCAAGGTCAGGGTGTCGTCAAATAAGGACACCAACATCACCCATGTCCAGTATACATGAATGGGTACAATTCGTCAGTAAATGAGGCTTGCATTGACACCATCAAAACTACACAAAATAATGGTGAAAGCAGCAGTTGATCCATTGATGATCCAAAAAAGTTTATATCTGGCTTTAACTGAATACAACTTTTCAAACAATGTTTACACCATACACATACACATATATATCCATGTCATGTGCTCGATCAAGTTGAATACTTTATGATAATACAAATTATATTTTTATTCTTAGTTTCTTCGCACAGTCTCAGATATATTCCGTTTGGTTCCATTTCTGGTGTTTTTACTTATTCCATTTATGGAGTTTATGCTGCCAGTGGTCATAAAACTTTTTCCAAACATGCTGCCAAGTACATTTGAGGATAAATCAAAGAAGGTAGGGAATATATTATGTGCATGCATTTGATTTTCAAAAATTAAGACATAAACTATTATTAGTAAATCTGGTTTTAAAAAGTTTTTTTTTTTTAACAAAGCATTTAAGATGATTTCCATTCCGTACTGCACAGTCTCAGCACCCTAATGTTTATAAACATTAGAATTCTCACTGGATGTAATGTGAATCAATGTTATTTGTTACAAACCACATACCTTATCTTTGAGGGCTTTCAATTTTTTTTCCATTGGCTTCATTGATTTTTACAGCTGCGAAGTTTTTTCATCAAGTGATATGAAAAAGAATGAAGCATAAAGCTTAGCATCGATAATGGCAGTTGACATGAAACTTTGAATTTACTTCATGTAAGTAGTTGCAAAATGTTGACATTTTGTGATGTCTTACATGAAACAATAAAATTCGTAAACAAACTCCCAAGAGTGTGCAGTATGGACTGGAAATCATCTTTAAACTTTGTTTGTCTGCACATACAGTACAACCTGTAAGTATAAGAAAGAAACCAAATTCAGATATATTTGCATTTCCCCTCTCTACAGTGGAAATTGATTCTTTTTAGATCACAAGGTATTTGGTCTCATAGAAAAAAAATAGGGGAATCCTGTCATAAAGGTGCTCTGGTAACTAGAATCTGGGCTATTCCACAGTATTTTGTCAATGCCTTCAAATTAGCCTCAGTATGTTATGTTTTATAATGTAGTACAGAGTCTCAACGTTACATTTCAAATGATTTTGCATATTGACAAGTCGGTATTGCTGCATAAATTAGAATTTATTATAAAAATCATGAGACAGCTGTTGCAGAGACTACAATTAGATTGTTTGTTTAGAAAAAAAAGGAAAAGCTGATCAGAAACCTTTGGCAAGACCACAAGTTAGACAGACTCTACTACTGGCCTTTTTCTCTAAAACAGCTGATTCAATTTGACCTCATCATTAGAACTACTGGTATGCAATATTTGCTTTCCATTGGCAAAATGTAGTTTCTGCAACATTTTCAAACCTTAAATTTTCTTTGTGAGAGGCCAAATGAAGCTTCGTTGATGTAAGTATGATAAGTTCTAATTTACCCTTAGAGGGAAGTTGTACTGCAACAGTTTTCCCTGAATTTTCCTTTATAAGGTTATACATGTAATATTAAGTATTTTGTTTTTGTTGCGAACCACAATTCTGCTACACAAATGTACATCTGCTGAAAAAAAATCTAAAATTCCCTAATATATTTTCAGTCACAGTGATAGGATTTGTGTAGCAAATTTCTGAAATTATTATTTTTCATCATGAGGACAAGACATCTACATGTATTTCAGCATCCACTGTTTGTAGCCTCAACCTCTTTGCATTCTTTACCATTCCCTGCTTGGTTTTACTTGGCCAACATTAAGTGAACTGCCACTAGTGAACTTCTGAGCTTAGAGACTTAGCTATTCTAGCAACTGAATATATTACTTACTTGTATTATACT